CTACTAGTACCTCTCACCCCATTCTCCTACATAACCTCTCACCCCATTCTCCTACATAACCTCTCACCCCATTCTCCTACATAACCTCTCACCCCATTCTCCTACATAACCTCTCACCCCATTCTCCTACATAACCTCTCACCCCATTCTCCTACATAACCTCTCACCCCATTCTCCTACATAACCTCTCACCCCATTCTCCTACATAACCTCTCACCCCATTCCCCCCAATAAAGAGCTATCAAATCATCGCACTCAATAACCCCACAACATTTCACCCATTTTCACCATTACCCAACCACCCTCCTAGCAGCTACTCAGTATTTCATCTGTCTGTCTTTAACCCCCCATTACATACCCTCACCATCCCCATCACCCCCGACCAAATACCCCATCCCCCATTACCCCCCCTGGCCCTCCCTCTCTCTCTCCCCTCAGTGTATGCCTCACCTACCTGTCATCTTAATTAGTACCTGGAGCTGTTGGTCATTACCCGTGGTGCAGCCTTGCCGCCCACTAGACCTGCAGCCTTGCCGCCCACTAGACCTGCAGCCACGCCCGTACGCCCGTACGCCCGTACGCCCGCACGCCCACCCGCTACAGATCCTGATCTGTAATCCCTGAAATTACTGAAAGACACAGCGGCTATAAGAGATTATGCATAGCTGAAGCACTTCACATTAAACAAACATCATCTCATTAAAAAAGTCATCTCTCTCACCATCACACAAACACACCAGTTGCCTTTATTACACCAGTTAATTGACAGTTGAGAGGCGGGACCAAAGAGCCTAAGCTCAACCCCCCCCCTGCAAGCACAACTAGTTGAGTACAACTAGGTGAGAAACACACACACACACACACACACACACACACACACACACACACACACACACACACACACACACACACACACACACACACACACACACACACATTGTGTTCCCTTCACACAATTTATTACATATATTCAATCAATCTCAGTTTACAAGCTCAATTGGTAATTAATTCAATATGTGGAATTCTCTGAATTCAATTGACGTTCCACCAGCTGCCTGACGGACGCATTTTGGCTTCCACAATATGACTTGGATATTAGCAGTTACGCCAGTTATTAGAACTTTCATTACTGTGAATTAAAATCAGTGTTACCTCCATTATTATTATTATTATTATTATGCAAATTAGTTTTAATGATCTAATATCTGTAACTACATTAATTCTTTTGGTTTAGGAACGGGAGGAAAGCATAGGAGGATGCAGGTGAATGCTTTAAGTCATAATGGGAAAAATTGCAGCTCTCTCGCGGTTATCTTATCTTGAGGTTATCTTGAGATGATTTCGGGGCTTTAGTGTCCCCGCGGCCCGGTCCTCGACCAGGCCTCCACCCCCAGGAAGCAGCCCGTGACAGCTGACTAACTCCCAGGTACCTATTTACTGCTAGGTAACAGGGGCATTCAGGGTGAAAGAAACTTTGCCCATTTGTGTGCGGTAGCCTAATAACCTGTATATTCTGAGTTTGTATTTTTGTCTATTTTGCTGTTAGTGATTATTTGGTAATAGGGTGAGATCTAGTGTCATGGGCGGCCGGGGGGAACTACCTGTGAACTACCCACTATATGTAAACAATGTACAAGCACTGGTAAATCCCCAGGTTGATTAACAGTTGAGAGGCGGGACCAGAGAGCCGAAGCTCAACCCCCGCAAGCACAACTAGGCGAGTATAGGTGAATCAGAAAAAAATAGCGGGAGATATAGCATTAGTAGCAAATACAGCTGTATAAGAAACCTGAAAGGAAATACAGCTGTATAAGAAACCAGAAAGGAAATACAGCTGTATAAGAAACCAGCAACAAATACAGCTGTATAAGAAACCAGCAACAAATACAGCTGTATAAGAAACCAGCAACAAATACAGCTGTATAAGAAACCAGCAACAAATACAGCTGTATAAGAAACCAGCAACAAATACAGCTGTATAAGAAACCAGCAACAAATACAGCTGTATAAAAAAAACTGCAACAATTGCAGTTGTATAAAAGACCAGCAGGAATTACAGCATTAACTACCAATAAAGACAGCATAGCCACACTCAGGAGCAGTAAGGCAGTATTAGTATCTGGAGCAGCAGCAGCGGCAGTAGAAGCAGCAGCGGCAGTAGCAGCAGCAGCGGCAGCAGCAGCGGCAGTAGCAGCAGCAGCGGCAGTAGCAGCGGCAGTAGCACCAGCAGCAGCGGCAGTAGCAGCAGCAGCAGCAGCAGCAGTAGCAGCAGCAGCAGCAGCAGCGGCAGTAGCAGCAGCAGCAGCAGCAGCAGCAGTAGCAGCAGTAGCAGCAGCAGCGGCAGTAGCAGCAGCAGCGGCAGTAGCACCAGCAGCAGCAGCAGTAGCAGCAGCAGCAGCAGCAGTAGCAGCGGCAGTAGCACCAGCAGCAGCAGCAGTAGCAGCAGCAGCAGCAGCGGCAGTAGCAGCAGCAGCAGCGGCAGTAGCACCAGCAGCAGCGGCAGTAGCAGCAGCAGCAGCAGCAGCAGCGGCAGTAGCACCAGCAGCAGCGGCAGTAGCAGCAGCAGCAGCAGCAGCGGCAGTAGCAGCAGCAGCAAAAAGCAGCAGCACCATCAGCATCAGCAGCTCGGCTCGGTAATATAATTTATATAGCCCCGTTAACAGGGAGGGAAAAGGCGTGGAGTGTGTTAACGCCACTACGCCCCGGTGCCGCCAATTATGCCGGCGGCCAAAGCAAATCCACAAGAGCCGCTGCAATCAGTCGCCTTTATGAATGTCCAATGACAGCATTCGTTGTTGGAGAGTTGGTGGAGCGTGGAATAAATGCTAGGGGATGGGGGGTTGGGGGGGGGGGGATTCTGTGCTTGGTGAAGGGGGGGGGGGAGAAGCTGGGTGTATGGGATTTCTGTCTGGTGGATAATGGGTAGGACAAGAGGCACCCATTTAGGCAGGATTGTTCCCACCTGTATTGTGGGGGTGGTTGGTGATGGTGGGACTATGGACTATTAGATAATAGTGGATAGCTTTGAGAGGCGTGACAATAGAGTGAGGAAACAAAAACACAGAAATACAACTATACAAGTTGTATATGTATGTTAATACACAAGTATGTGTATTCTCAACAGTATCTTGGCAGGAGTTGGGACTTCGGGTCTTGGGGTCCCAACTTTCACTCTCAAATTAATTGCTGTAAATGAGCAAATCCACAAGAGCCGTGACGAGGATTCGAACCTGCGTCCAAGAGCATCCCAGACACTGCCTTAATCGACTGAGCTACGACAGGGTTAAAAGGGTTGAAACCGAAGTTCTACTGAACTTCCAGTAAGTTCAGTAGAACTTCGGTTTCAACCCCCTTTAACCCTGTCGTAGCTCAGTCGATTAAAGCAGTGTCTGGGATGCTCCCGGACGCAGATTCGAATCCTCGTCACGGCCCTTGTGGATTTGTTCATTTGATGCATCACGTTAGTGTGATCTCTGTGTATGTGATAATTGCTCTGGTCTCTCAAGAGCTGTCACATCTATATTTGTAGCTGCGCTTGATAGCCTAATCTCCTAAACTGAAAGTACTTTTATTAACTATTTGGTGGAAAGTACCAATGATGGACCACCAGAACGCTGACTTTTGCATTATTGAATTTGGAGAAGCAAGAATCTTGTTCTTATCCGCAACTTAAACAAAAGACCTAATCTAACGTCTCCTAGCAATCTCAGGCCTAATGCACGCTCTCTTAGACCTAATATAGTACGTATTTGTGCTATACAAGGCCTAGGAATATTTCAGTTTGGTTTTTAGCTTTATTTTTTTCATGTCTCTTATATTGAACTAACAGTACAGAGCGGTTTAATGGTCCATCACTACAAATTGGTAGTGATGGACTTTATTCTATTTCAGGAGGATGGGGTTGGTGTATGGAGTCTGCCATCACCTATTTAACCCATTCCATGTGTCCAATTTGACAGGGACAGAAATACTCAATGTGGTTTTACTTAATTGTTTATGTCCATTTTATCCTGTCTAATCTGTCCTTACACTGTCTATTCCTCTGATATATATTTGATGTTATCAGCGTGTCATGTTTAGTGTGATTGGTCTGTCTTCGAGTCATCTCAGGTTTAGTTTTGCTATTTGTCGTAATTGGTATCTGTGAGTTAGGGCAGGTGTCTCCTGGCCTGCCGCACATGTCATATCTCTCTCTCTCTCTCTCTCTCTCTCTCTCTCTCTCTCTCTCTCTCTCTCTCTCTCTCTCCTCTCTCTCTCTCTCTCTCTCTCTCTCTCTCTCTCTCTCTCTCTCTCTCTCTCTCTCTCTCTCTCTCTCTCTGGCTGAGTGAACAGTGCTCGGGGGCTCGTAGTACTATGGGCCCGGGTTCGATTCCCGGCCGAGGACGAAACAAATGGGCAGAATTTCTTTCACCCTGATCCCGCTATTCACCTAGCAGTAAATAGGTACCTGGGAGTTAGACAGCTGCTGCATGCCGATTCCTGGGGATGTGAGTGAGTGTGCGCGGGTGTTTGAGAGAAATATATATAGTAGATATAATAGAGGAAAATAGATGATTAGAAAGGCGGAATCCAAGAGCTAAGAGCTCGATTCTGCAGACACAAATAGTAAATACACAAATATTTAACAATGCCTACAAGCAAATGAGATTCGTGGACCACTATTGATGGACTTGGTTTTTGGTATTGTCTAGGTCTACTACGGTATGGCTGGACATAGTGTCCAGGTCTACTACGGTATGGCTGGACATAATGTCCAGGTCTACCACAGTATGGCTGGACATATTGTCCAGGTCTACTACGGTATGGCTGGACATATTGTCCAGGTCTACCACAGTATGGCATGACATATTGTCCAAGTCTACTACGGTATGGCTGGACATAATGTCCAGGTCTACCACAGTATGGCTGGACATATTGTCCAGGTCTACTACGGTATGGCTGGACATATTGTCTAGGTCTACTACGGTATGGCTGGACATATTGTCTAGGTCTACTACGATATGGCTGGACATAGTGTCCAGGTCTACTACGGTATGGCTGGACATATTGTCCAGGTCTACTACGGTATGGCTGGACATATTGTCCAGGTCTACTACTGTATGGCTGGACATATTGTCCAGGTCTACTACTGTATGGCTGGACATATTGTCCAGGTCTACTACTGTATGGCTGGACATATTGTCCAGGTCTACTACGGTATGGCTGGACATATTGTCCAGGTCTACTATGGTATGGCTGGACATATTGTCCAGGTCTACTACGGTATGGCTGGACATATTGTCCAGGTCTACTACGGTATGGCTGGACATATTGTCCAGGTCTACTACGGTATGGCTGGACATAGTGTCCAGGTCTACTACGGTATGGCTGGACATATTGTCCAGGTCTACTACGGTATGGCTGGACATATTGTCCAGGTCTACTACGGTATGGCTGGACATATTGTCCAGGTCTACTACGGTATGGCTGGACATATTGTCCAGGTCTACTACGGTATGGCTGGACATATTGTCCAGGTCTACTACGGTATGGCTGGACATATTGTCCGGGTCTACTACGGTATGGCTGGACATATTGTCCAGGTCTACTACGGTATGGCTGGACATAGTGTCCAGGTCTACTACGGTATGGCTGGACATATTGTCCAGGTCTACTACGGTATGGCTGGACATATTGTCCGGGTCTACTACGGTATGGCTGGACATATTGTCCAGGTCTACTACGGTATGGCTGGACATAGTGTCCAGGTCTACTACGGTATGGCTGGACATATTGTCCAGGTCTACTACGGTATGGCTGGACATATTGTCCAGGTCTACTACGGTATGGCTGGACATATTGTCCAGGTCTACTACGGTATGGCTGGACATATTGTCCAGGTCTACTACGGTATGGCTGGACATATTGTCCAGGTCTACTACGGTATGGCTGGACATATTGTCCAGGTCTACTACGGTATGGCTGGACATAATGTCCAGGTCTACCACAGTATGGCTGGACATATTGTCCAGGTCTACTACGGTATGGCTGGACATATTGTCCAGGTCTGCCACAGTGTGGCATGACATATTGTCCAAGTCTACTACGGTATGGCTGGACATATTGTCTAGGTCTACTACGGTATGGCTGGACATATTGTCTAGGTCTACTACGATATGGCTGGACATATTGTCCAGGTCTACTACGGTATGGCTGGACATATTGTCCAGGTCTACTACGGTATGGCTGGACATATTGTCTAGGTCTACTACGGTATGGCTGGACATATTGTCCAGGTCTACTACGGTATGGCTGAACATATTGTCCAGGTCTACTACGGTATGGCTGGACATATTGTCCAGGTCTACTACGGTATGGCTGGACATATTGTCCAGGTCTACTACGGTATGGCTGGACATATTGTCCAGGTCTACTACGGTATGGCTGGACATATTATCCAGGTCTACTACGGTATGGCTGGACATATTGTCCAGGTCTGCCACAGTGTGGCATGACATATTGTCCAAGTCTACCTAATACAATATAGTTACAACCAATTTCAGGGATTGTAACTTTATTATAAATAGGAATCTAATTAACACAGGTGCCTCTAATTTAACATTTCTTAAAGTAAGCAGCGTAAACCGCAGTTTACCCCTGCAAGATAACCCACCACTGACCCCTGGAAGGGAGACTACAAACACAGTTTACCTCGTAATAGAGATGAAGACTCACAGATGGAATAGCTGTAGAGAGTGGTGGTGGTCGAGGGGGTCAGTGAACCAAGGGAATGGAAGGAGATATTTGCAACGAATGTTTAGTAATTGCCATGACTAACACCTGCTGACACCTGGCCAGAAGTGTGTGTGTGTGTGTGTGTGTATGTGTGTGTGTGTGTGTGTGTGTGTGTGTGTGTGTGTGTGTGTGTGTGTGTGTGTGTGTGTGTGTGTGTGTGTGTGTGTGTGATGAAGACAATGATATAATTTGTACTCACTTTCTCTTGCTGGTTTTAAGGTTCTTGCTATTTATATTCATTTTAAAATTGATTGCCTTCTCTTTCTGGTAATTAAGCTGTTAATCTCTCTCTCTCGTCGTTCGTGTCTTCTGGTCCGTTAGCCCAATCAGATCAGCAGACCTGACCTGTCCCTTTCCCCCCTCCCAATCCCCCCACCTTCCCAATTCCCCCCTCCCTCCTCACTTTTCACCATATGTGGTGATCACCCAGTTTTATCACTTGAGGTGATTAGCCTTATACAGGTAGCCATGACTCTCCCTTTCACAGCCTTCCCCCCCCCCCAACCCCAACCCCCTCCACAACCCCTATGTAATCCCCTGAACTCCCTCCTTCTGGGGGCGCACACCCCCTCATACACCCCCCCACACTCATTCACCTCACTCCCTCACCACGGCGACTATTGTACCCCCACGACCCCACGACCCCCACGACCCCCACGACCCCCACGACCCCCACGACCCCACGCCCCCCACGACCCCACGACCTCCATGGCTTCAATGTCTTCTATGGACCAGCGCCTCGATTCCCCTCCCATATTCTCAAACACACCTTTAAGAAACGGCTGAAGAGGTATTTTGACATTATCCACGGGAATTAAAGCCATAATTTAACTAGAGGTGTAATGCCTCTCTGTGATGAGGAGCGTAGCCTTCTACGCCCAAAACTGTGGTAGAGTCTCTGGGGTAGAAACTGGGGTAGAAACTGTGGTAGAGTCTCTACTTCTACCAACTGTGGCGACTGCGTTCGTAGACGTGTCCCGTCTTAATACTGACATCGTTAATTAATAACCAGGCATGGAGTTGGATTGTCTGGAGTCCGCTGTTGCGTTGTTTCAAGCGATGGTCACACACACA